AAGATATAGCGCATCTATGCCAGTAGAACCCCTATGTGCAGTCAGTCTAACAGCCATGCCTGCAAGCGCCCGCGACACGAACTTCGTATATTGCGGCTTAACGGTACCTTAACCTGGGAAGTTCTGCACAAACTATACCTTGTTCGGAAGCTTGTGATCAGGCCAACAAGCTGGCAAAAGGACAGGTCTTGAAACCCAGTACTTGCGGAGAAAATTTAAGATATAGCGCATCAATGCCAGTATAGTACCCCTATGTGCAGTCAGTCTAACAGCCATGCCTGCAAGCGCCCGCGACACGAACTTCGTATATCGCGGCCTAACGGTACCTTAACCTGGGAAGTTCTGCACAAACTATACCTTGTTCGGAAGCTTGTGATCAGGCCAACAAGCTCGCAAAAGGACAGGTCTTGAAACCCAGTACTTGCAGAGAAAATTTAAGATATAGCGCATCAATGCCAGTAGAACCCCTATGTGCAGTCAGTCTAACAGCCATGCCTGCAAGCGCCCGCGACGCGAACTTCGTATATCGCGGTCTAACGGTACCTTAACCTGGGAAGTTCTGCACAAACTATACCTTGTTCGGAAGCTTGTTATCAGGCCAACAAGCTGGCAAAAGGACAGGTCTTGAAACCCAGTACTTGCGGAGAAAATTTAAGATATAGCGCATCAATGCCAGTAGAACCCCTATGTGCAGTCAGTCTAACAGCCATGCCTGCAAGCGCCCGCGACACGAACTTCGTATATCGCGGTCTAACGGTACCTTAACCTGGGAAGTTCTGCACAAACTATACCTTGTTCGGAAGCTTGTGATCAGGCCAACAAGCTGGCAAAAGGACAGGTCTTGAAACATAGTACTTGCGGAGAAAATTCAAGATATAGCGCATCAATGCCAGTAGAACCCCTATGTGCAGTCAGTCTAACAGCCATGCCTGCAAGCGCCCGCGACGCGAACTTCGTATATCGCGGTCTAACGGTACCTTAACCTGGGAAGTTCTGCACAAACTATACCTTGTTCGGAAGCTTGTGATCAGGCCAACAAGCTGGCAAAAGAACAGGTCTTGAAACCCAGTACTTGCGGGGAAAATTTAAGATATAGCTCATCAATGCCAGTAGAACCCATATGTGCAGTCAGTCTAACAGCCATGCCTGCAAGCGCCCGCGACACGAACTTCGTATATCGCGGCCTAACGGTACCTTAACCTGGGAAGTTCTGCACAAACTATACCTTGTTCGGAAGCTTGTGATTAGGCCAACAAGCTGGCAAAAGACACTGGTCTTGAAACCCAGTACTTGCGGAGAAAATTTAAGATATAGCTCATCAATGCCAGTAGAACCCCTATGTGCAGTCAGTCTAACAGCCATGCCTGCAAGCGCCCGCGACACGAACTTCGTATATCGCGGCCTAACGGTACCTTAACTTGGGAAGTTCTGCACAAACTATACCTTGTTCGGAAGCTTGTGATCAGGCCAACAAGCTGGCAAAAGGACAGGTCTTAAAACCCAGTACTTGCGGAGAAAATTCAAGATATAGCGCATCAATGCCAGTAGAACCCCTATGTGCAGTCAGTCTAACAGCCATGCCTGCAAGCGCCCGCGAAACGAACTTCGTATATCGCGGTCTAACGGTACCTTAACCTGGGAAGTTCTGCACAAACTATACCTTGTTCGGAAGCTTGTGATCAGGCCAACAAGCTGGCAAAAGGACAGGTCTTGAAACCCAGTACTTGCGGAGAAAATTTAAGATATAGCGCATCAATGCCAGTAGAACCCCTATGTGCAGTCAGTCTAACAGCCATGCCTGCAAGCGCCCGCGACACGAACTTCGTATATCGCGGTCTAACGGTACCTTAACCTGGGAAGTTCTGCACAAACTATACCTTGTTCGGAAGCTTGTGATCAGGCCAACAAGCTTGCAAAAGGACAGGTCTTTAAACCCAGTACTTACGGAGACAATTTAAGATATAGCGCATCAATACCAGTAGAACCCCTATGTGCAGTCAGTCTAACAGCCATGCCTGCAAGCGCCCGCGACACGAACTTCGTATATCGCGGCCTAACGGAACCTTAACCTGGAAAGTTCTGCACATACTATACCTTGTTCGGAAGCTTGTGATCAGGCCAACAAGCTGGCAAAAGGACAGGTCTTGAAACCCAGTACTTGCGGAGAAAATTCAAGATATAGTGCATCAATGCCAGTAGAACCCCTATGTGCAGTCAGTCTAACAGCCATGCCTGCAACGCCCGCGACACGAACTTCGTATATCGCGGTCTAACGGTACCTTAACCTGGGAAGTTCTGCACAAACTATACCTTGTTCGGAAGCTTGTGATCAGGCCAACAAGCTGGCAAAAGGACAGGTCTTGATAACCAGAACTTGCGGAGAAAATTTAAGATATAGCGCATCTATGCCAGTAGAACCCCTATGTGCAGTCAGTCTAACAGCCGTGCCTGCAAGCGCTCGCGACGCGAACTTCGTATATCGCGGTCTAACGGTACCTTAACCTGGGAAGTTCTGCACAAACTATACCTTGTTCGGAAGCTTGTGATCAGGCCAACAAGCTGGCAAAAGGACAGGTCTTGCAGCCCAGTACTTGCGGAGAAAATTTAAAATATAGCGCATCAATGCCAGTAGAACCCCTATGTGCAGTCAGTCTAACAGCCATGCTTGCAAGCGCCCGCGACACGAACTTCGTATATCGCCGCCTAACGGTACCTTAACCTGGGAAGTTCTGCACAAACTATACCTTGTTCGGATGCTTGTGATCAGGTCAACAAGGCATGGCTGTTAGACTGACTGCACATAGGGGTTCTACTGGCATTGATGCGCTATATTTTAAATTTTCTCCGCAAGTACTGGGCTGCAAGACGTGTCCTTTTGCCAGCTTGTTGGCCTGATCACAAGCTTCCGAACAAGGTATAGTTTGTGCAGAACTTCCCAGGTTAAGGCACCGTTAGACCGCGATATACGAAGTTCGTGTCGCGGGCGCTTGCAGGCATGGCTGTTAGACTGACTGCACATAGGGGTTATACTGGCATTGATGCGCTATATCTTCAATTTTCTCCGCAAGTAGTGAGTTTCAAGATCTGTCCTTTTGCCAGCTTGTTGGCCTGATCACAAGCTTCCGAACAAGGTATAGTTTGTGCAGAACTTCCTATGTTAAGGTACCGTTAGGCCGCGATATACGAAGTTCGTTTCGCGGGCGCTTGCAGGCATGGCTGTTAGACTGACTGCACATAGGGGTACTACTGGCATTGATGCGCTATATCTGAATTTTCTCCGCAAGTACTGGGTTTCAAAACCTGTCCTTTTGCCAGCTTGTTGGCCTGATCACAAGCTTCCGAACAAGGTATAGTTTGTGCAGAACTTCCCAGGTTAAGGTACCGTTAGGCCGCGATATACGAAGTTCGTGTCGTGGGCGCTTGCAGGCATGGCTGGTAGACTGACTGCACATAGGGGTTCTACTGGCATTGATGCGCTATATCTTAAATTTTCTCCGCAAGTACTGGGTTTCAAGACCTGTCCTTTTGCCAGCTTTTTGGCCTGATCACAAGCTTCCGAACAAGGTATAGTTTGTGCAGAACTTCCCAGGTTAAGGTACCGTTAGGCCGCGATATACGAAGTTCGTGTCGCGGGCGCTTGCAGGCATGGCTGTTAGACTGACTGCACATAGGGGTACTATACTGGCATTGATGCGCTATATTTTACATTTTCTCCGCAAGTACTGGGTTTCAAGTCCTGTCCTTTTGCCGACTTGTTGGCCTGATCACAAACTTCCAAACAAGGTATAGTTTGTGCAGAACTTCCCAGGTTAAGGTACCGTTAGGCCGCGATATACGAAGTTCGTGTCGAGGGCGCTTGCAGGCATGGCTGTTTAACTGACTGCACATAGGGGTTCTACTGGCATTGATGCGCTATATCTTAAATTTTCTCCGCAAGTACTGGGCTGCAAGACCTGTCCTTTTGCCAGCTTGTTGGCCTGATCACAAGCTTCCGAACAAGGTATAGTTTGTGCAGAACTTCCCAGGTTAAGGCACCGTTAGACCGCGATATACGAAGTTCGTGTCGCGGGCGCTTGCAGGCATGGCTGTTAGACTGACTGCACATAGGGGTTCTACTGGCATTCATGCGCTATATCTTAAATTTTCTCCGCAAGTACTGGGTTTCAAGACCTGTCCTTTTGCCAGCTTGTTGGCCTGATAACAAGCTTCCGAACAAGGTATAGTTTGTGCAGAACTTCCCAGGTTAAGGTACCGTTAGACTGCGATATACGAAGTTCGAGTCGCGGGCGCTTGCAGGCACGGCTGTTAGACTGACTGCACATAGGGGTTCTACTGGCATTGATGCGCTATATCTTAAATTTTCTCCGCAAGTACTGGGTTTCAAGACCTGTCCTTTTGCCAGCTTGTTGGCCTGATCACAAGCTTCCGAACAAGGTATAGTTTGTGCAGAACTTCCCAGGTTAAGGTACCGTTAGACCGCGATATACGAAGTTCGTGTCGCGGGCGCTTGCAGGCATGGCTGTTAGACTGACTGCACATAGGGGTTCTACTGGCATTGATGCGCTATATCTTAAATTTTCTCCGCAAGTACTGGGTTTCAAGACCTGTCCTTTTGCCAGCTTGTTGGCCTGATAACAAGCTTCCGAACAAGGTATAGTTTGTGCAGAACTTCCCTGGTTAAGGTACCGTTAGACCGCGATATACGAAGTTCGCGTCGCGGGCGCTTGCAGGCACGGCTGTTAGACTGACTGCACATAGGGGTTCTACTGGCATTGAGTTTGAGTTTATGAATATAATTAATTGGTGAATTATTTCCTTGTTTCTCGTCGTCAGTTCTTTCTGTCTTTGTACTTTAGTTTCTTTTTGTTGTCAAGTAGAGTTGTGTGCGTTTTCTGAGGAGTGCATTCTCTGATCGAGAGAGAAGACACACCAACAAATTTGAGAGATCTGAGCTGAGTGTGACAGAGACCGGTACCATCTTGCTAGGAGACGTCTGATACAGCAGGTTTTCGTCAGAAAATCGGTGAAATCTGCCACCGATCTTGTCTGATCCGCCAGTTTGGCAAAATCAGTGCCAAAATAGTCTGGGCAAGGCTAAAAGCCACCTTCCCGGTCCTGTAGACCACGCTCATAGCAACACTCAGCCTTCACAAGCATCATAATGAAGAAATAACCGTAAGTGTTGTATTTAATATTATTTCTCAACTTCCAACAATTAGAATCTGTAGTTTATACCAATTGATTGTGATTGTTAAGAATAATAATTTTCTTGGTAAAAAGTGCTTGAAATGATACCTTGAGATGAAGTGCAACCCTTGACACGAAGTCTAACTATATACTTGACATCTTGAGATTTATGGATATACTGTAATTTTAGAACAAAATACTGGATGGGTTTCGGTAACTGTTTTATATTGTAGATGGCCGGAAACCTCAAAGTACGAGTTGGGTTCATGCATGATGAATAGTAACGACTGCAGAACGACTACGATGTCAGTCTGTACATAGTGTGTCCCGTGCCGATTGACCCGTCAGCTGGAAAGGTGCACGGAGACGAGACCCTCTACTAAGGAAAGTGCCTCGGTTAAAATTGTAAAGTTTTAACTTTGCAGAAAGCTGTGATTTTGTTTTTGGAATAATCATAAGAAATATAACCGAAGTTGATATAGCTGTTTGAAGGAATTAAGTGTGAACAAAATTGTGATTGAATTGTCGAATTGAGCGTTCTAATCCGAAAGGTTGATTACTTTGATTTAACCAGTTTTATCAGAACCAAACAGAAGTATTGATATTTGATTGAAGTGAATTTTAAATTGTGGTATAGTCACGGTGGGATTCTAGATCCAAAGTAGTTATATTTGATTGGACTGAATTTTGAATTGAATTTTGGAGCTAAGGCTGAATTTAAACAAGAGTTACGGCTGAATTTTAGAGCCATATTCTACAGTTGGATTTGATTTTGAATTGTGTCGTTGTACACTCAGTAAGAGATTTGTGATTTTTAGAAATTTACGAGTTAAGCTTAAGAAAATTAAATTTGTAGACTAAGTTGTTGGAGTAGAAAGTAAAACTCCTAACTGAGATTGATTATGAGAAGTTTGATCCACGAGTCCGGATCTTTGTAAATATTGTAAATAGTTTGAGTTTATGAATATAATTAATTGGTGAATTATTTCCTTGTTTCTCGTCGTCAGTTCTTTCTGTCTTTGTACTTTAGTTTCTTTTTGACCGGGGTCATCACTTTAAAAGTCAAGTTTCATAGTTAGTGGTGACATTTCTGGGGGCTTGTCCGGGATACGACAGAAAGAGTCAAAAGGAAAAGACTGAAAAAGGAAGCAAGGAAAATACGTTGTACTGAATCTACAGTCTTACCGCCATTGATTATGTTAGCCTGGACTTGTGAAATATGTTCTATTTTTTAACTTTGTTTTGTATTGTTGTATCCGTGCAGGTTGAGTGTTGCTATCCCCTCCCCATTTCTGCTGCGATACGCTCCAGCGTTGTATCTCCTGGTAAGTTGGTACCGGAAACTGTAAGGATGGAAGAGAGTGTGGAATTGTTGAAAAATGTATCTGAAGCGTGTGCTTTGAGTGGGCAAGAGTTGATTGATTTCATTCGTGAAGAACGTCGCGAACAGGCAAACCTCAAACGCGAAGAACGCGTATTTCAACTCGAAAAGCGTAGGCAAGATAGCGAAATGCAGAGACAAGAGTTCGAACTGCGTAAACAAGAAATGGAAATGTTAGAAATGCGCATGCGTTTAGAAGCCTTAAAACGCGAACCTGTGCCAACCGTTGAAGAGCACACTGCTGACGAATCGGTAACTAGTCACCATAGTCACTCTCACTCACGCATTAAGGCTAAGGCTCCTAAACTTCCAAAGTTTAATGAAAATCAGGATGATCTCGACGCATACATCCAACGATATGAGAGATACGCTACCACTCAAGGTTGGGAACACGATGAATGGGCAATAAATTTGAGCGCGCTTTTACAAGGCAAAGCGTTAGACGTTTATTCCCGTTTGGCTACCGACGACTCGAACGACTATGAAAAACTAAAAGACGCACTCTTGAAACGATTTCACCTCACCGCTATCGGTTTCAGGCAGAAATTTAGAGATTCCAGACCAGAGAAAGGCGAAACCGCACCTCAGTTCGCGGCCCGCTTAGATTGTGTTTTCACTCGCTGGATAGAAATGGATAAGGCAGATAAGAACTACGACGGTATCAAAGACCTTATGTTACGCGAACAGTTTTTGAACAGTTGTAGCGAAGAATTACGCTTATTCTTGAATGAACGAAAACCGCGTAAAATCTCCGACATGTCACGACTCGCCGAGCAGTATTCGGAAGCGCATGGCAGTTTTGGCGTGCCCCCTAGTGCGAAGAAACCTACGCAAAATACATACACTAGGAAGCCAGATGTTAGACCGCCGTTTAAACCACATCCGCCAACAAATACTCCGACTAGTCAATATTTCAAGGGACGCGAGGGAAATCGTACTCCCCCAACATGTTTCATTTGCCACAAAGTAGGTCACATTGCACGTAATTGTCACTACAAACCCAAGAACTACAACCAAGTTGCAAGCATTATAGCGTCCGCGTTGTCAGATGTGTTAGATGAGCCGAGTGGCTTAGCTGCGCGTCCACCGGAGCAAAGCAGGCAAACACCAAATGATGCAGCGATAAAAACCGAAACGAACCAAACACCGTCGCAAGCGTTTGAAACCGTAGCATGTATGGTCCCTCCCAACTCTCTAGATCCATGTTGCTCCCACGATGGCTATGTCAAACTTGAATGCGGCCATGTTTTACCACTCATGAGCGCTGCTTGTCAAGATAGAAATCCTAGTTCTATGCCAGTTGTACAAGGTTTAGTCAATGAACAAAGAGTCACAATCCTTCGCGACAGTGGATGCAGTGGTATTGTCGTTAGGCAAGATTTAGTCAAAGACGACCAGATGACAGGGCATGAACGCACTTATGTTCTCGCGGATAGAACCATTCGAAAAGCACCCGTCGCCAAAGTGAACTTGAACACTCCGTATTTCGTCGGTTCATGTGAAGCGTTGTGTTTACCAAATCCAGTATACGATGTCATTATTGGTAACATTGTAGGTGCACGTGATCCTGGAAATCCAAATTTGAATTGGCAAAATTCACAAACGCATCGTCGCCAAAATGATTCGCAAGAAGCACACGACAAACCTGAACCAATCCTCTCTAGTGCCGTCGAAACTAGGTCACAGAAACTGAAAAGTGAGAAACCAATGAAGAAATTGAACGTGCCTAAAGAACTCCCCGAAATTGACAGTGAAGAACTAAAAGCGGCTCAACAGAACGATCCTTCTCTCGACCGAATCAGAGAACTTGCGGCTAACAAAGATGAAAGAACGACTAGGTTTGGGTCAATGACAAATTCTTTTGGTCCGATGATTTGCTGTACCGCAAGTTTGTCTCACCTACCTATGAGTTTGGTCAACCTTGTAACCAGTTAGTGGTCCCCCACAAATTTCGCAAATACATAATGAAAATTGCGCACGATTCAATCCTCGGCGGACACCAAGGTGCCAAGAAAACGGCAGATAAGGTCCTCAGTAATTTCTACTGGCCAGGCGTACAAGCAGACGTGACTAGGTACTGTAGGTCATGTGACATCTGTCAGCGTACCGTTCATAAGGGTAGAGTTTGTAAGGTACCCCTAGGTCAAATGCCTGTGATTGACACGCCCTTCCAGCGCGTAGCAATTGACATCATAGGACCAATCCACCCTGTCTCAGAGAAAGGTAACCGGTACGTTCTCACACTAGTCGATTACGCGACACGCTACCCCGAAGCAGTCCCACTGCGAAATATTGAAACGACCACCGTTGCCGAAGCCATGGTAGACATTTTCACTCGCGTAGGCATACCCAGAGAAATCTTAACTGATCAGGGAGCGCAGTTCACTTCCAATCTCATGCGCGAAATAAGTCGCCTACTCTCACTGCGTCAGCTCACCACCACGCCCTATCATCCTGCGTGCAATGGATTCGTAGAGCGTTTCAACGGCGTACTCAAGCAAATGCTGAAGCGTTTATGCTCAGAAAGACCCCGCGATTGGGACAGATACATAGGTCCACTACTCTTCGCTTACCGCGACACACCCCAAGCAAGTACTGGTTTTGCACCATTTGAGCTACTTTACGGTCGTGCTGTACGTGGTCCCATGTCCATTCTTAAGGACCTGTGGACAGGTTCTAAAGCTAACGGTGACGATGAAATTAGAACTACCTATCAGTACGTATTGGATTTACGCGCGCGTATCGACGAAACGTGTAAAATCGCTCAAGAAGCGTTACAGAAATCGTCCGATCATAACAAACACTACTACAACCGAAAAGCCCGAATGAGAAGTTTCAAACCAGGTGACTTAGTCCTACTTCTGCTCCCTACCGATCATAACAAGTTGTTACTCCAGTGGAAAGGTCCATTCCCAGTACTCGACAAAGTAGGTCAGTTAGACTATCGAATCGATCTCTGCGGAAAACCAAAAGTCTTCCACGCGAACTTACTCAAGAGGTACATACCACGTCCTGAAATAACTTCGCTGATCACTGACAATCCTCAACACGCAGTAGAACACATTTTCGAATGCGCCCATGTATCACTTATCGAATGCGAACAAATCTGTTCGAAAGACGAACCAGTACCAGACACTAAACTCGATAATGATATTCTCGTGTTTCCATCACTAAACCGAACGAAACCATAGACGACGTTGAAATAAGTCCAAAATTGACAATCGAACAACGAAGAGAGACAAAACGCATCCTAGGAAATTTCCGCGATGTCTTAACAGATTTGCCCGGTAAAACAAACCTAGGGTTTCACGATATCAAGGTCAGATCCGATGAACCCGTACGCAGTAAACCGTACCCGCTCCCGTACGCGTTAATCGATACTGTAAATGCCGAAGTTGAAAACATGCTCCATATGAACATAATCGAAAAGTCGGAATCGCCATATGCATCTCCCATAGTGTTAGTCAAAAAACCGGACGGCTCAAATCGCTTTTGCATAGATTTCCGCAAACTGAATAAGGTAACTGTCTTTGATGCAGAGCCTATTCCGAACCAAGAACAAATCTTCTCACGTTTGGCAAAAGATCACTTCTTCACAAAAATCGACTTGACTAAGGGATACTGGCAAGTCCCAATGAATCCTGAAATCAAAGACAAAACTGCATTCGTTGCTCCGAACGGCCTATATCAGTTCAAAATGATGCCCTTCGGCCTTGTTAACGCGCCGGCAACGTTTAGCCGCATTATGAGAACTCTCGTGAATGGATTAGAGCACATTGATAACTACATAGATGACATTCTCATCCATACACAGTCGTGGGAAACACACATCAAGGTCTTAACCGCGTTGCTCAGTAGGTTAAGGAAAGCTGGCTTAACCGCGCGACCCAGCAAATGTTCCATAGGAATGAGCAGCATTGCGTATCTTGGGCACACTGTAGGAAACTCCATGATAGCACCGCAAACGGACAAGATAGAAAAGATTCAGAATGCACCTCAGCCAATCACGAAGAAACAGCTGCGATCATTTTTAGGACTATCTGGCTACTATAGAAAGTTCATTCCGAATTATGCAGCGATAGCAGCCCCCTTGACCGACAAGACAAAAAGCAAAGAACCCAATAAAATCAATTGGGAAGCGAGCCAGCAATTAGCGTTTGACAAGCTAAAGAAGTGCCTTGCTACTGCGCCCATACTCATGCTGCCTGACTTTGAAAAAGAATTCACCTTGCGCACAGATGCGTCAGATCTCGGCATAGGTGCGATTTTGTTACAAGAGCATGGTGATGTATTGTTCCCTGTAGCATATGCAAGCAGAAAGTTGCTAAGTCGCGAGCGAGCATATTCCTCGATTGAGAAGGAATGTCTGGCCTTAGTCTGGGGTGTTCAGAAATACCAGACTTACCTGTACGGCAAACCGTTTATCGTTCAGACCGATCACCAACCGCTAACTTACATGCAGAAAGCAAAAGTCGCGAATGCACGCATCATGCGATGGGCTCTTGCTCTCCAACCCTACCGAATGCGCATCATTGCCATCAAAGGTTGTGATAATGTAGGAGCGGATTTCCTCAGCCGAAACTTGTAAATAGTTCTCCTTGTAAA